GTCTCCAATTTGTTCCACAAAATAAGGTTTTGCTTTATTTATCCATTGTGTCAATTGCGTAAGTTTTTGTTTTACTTGTTATAATTTTTCACATCATTGTTGGCGCTATTTATCACCTAAATATATATTTTTTTGCATTTTTCATCTTACTTTATATATCCCCAAACCCGGTTTGACTTATTTGCATAATTTGATCCCAACATTTTCACGCTAGCATATACAGTTTCCTCCTGTTACATCCGCTGTACATTCCCTTCTAACCCCAAGTTATTTTCATTATACTCCCCAACTACAACAACCACTGGCAAGAAGCCAGACATAGAAACACTAATCGTCAACCAAACCAATATCACGTACCCTACAATGGCCCTGTCTTCCATCGACCTCTACCACCTACCAATCGCCGAACACCAACCAACCCATCCAGCTATATCCCACCCCATCGCCGACCTACCTACAACACAGCCTACAAATCAAGAGGTAACCATCGACCTGACCAACAACAGAAACGACTACCAGCCCACCGACGCCAACCAGTCCCCACTCATAAGGAAGAAGAACCCTTTGTGAAGGTGTTCTTCCAAGTTTTGCAGTGCCTCCATCATTTGGCAATCCTTACCCTTCAACAGCAAGGCCAACCAGCGTTTACCTTCAAACGCAAAGTCTCTGAGTTGGATAGTTTTATCCGTCCAGCAATGAAAACATCAGCTGTCGACGCGAATATTAGACCCCTCAATCGGACATGGCTCTGTAAGGTTACGCAGGTCCTGATCGACCATTACCAAACCACACTTCAAGAGAAGCTGAACACCAATTGTACCAAGTCTTTATCATCACCTGCCGTCGACCGCATCGTTTCTCATGCCCTGTCCTGGGCCCGTCGCTCCTATGGGAAACGTCTCACTCAAGCTGTAATCTCCAAATTCTACCAAACAATCAACGAAACAAAAACCAGAGTAACCATATCTCTACCAACTGAAATGGACACTACACCTGCACCATCTAGA